CCCTGCCAGGCGTCCTGCAGCTTGTCATGTCGGACAGGTTTTAAAATGAAAACTTTCTGCCCGACCTGAAAGCTACGGTCCCTGGCACCCCGATCTTACCAGGTGCGCTGGCGGGTCTGCGCCGCCTGAAGGTTTTCCCTTACCGTCCTAGTCAATGCTTCTAGGCGGTCTCAAAACGCCAACACATATGGTATGATTGGTGTACCGTCTGCGCTTTGGTCTCCCTCCCAGTGCTCCCTGATAAGATCTTGTGGCCCTCTTACTCTCCTTCCAAATAACAATTCAAACGGGGAAAACCCGGTCGATTCCTGTGGTACCTCCCGATAAGTGAAGAGGAGGTGGGGCAGGAATCATTCCCAGTCCCGGTGGGTCTCTGCGAAGGTTCGGAGCATCTGTTTCAATGTACCATTGAACCGTTCACAGAGCCTATTGGTCTGGGGATGGTAGGGGGCACTGATTATAGGCTTAATGTCACAGAATTTCCAGAGGTGCTGGGTGACCTCCACGGTAAACTGAGTACCCTGATCCAAGATGATCTCCCTGGGTAACCCCATCCGGGAGAAAATCTGCATGAGGCCCTCGGCTACCGTTTCAGCGTGGATATTGGTCAGTGCCTTTGGGTATCTAGTGGCATAGTCGACTACTGTTAAGATATATTTCTTACCAGAGGGACTAGGTTTCCGAAGGGGGCCCTATTAAGTCTAATGCTTTCCTACTGAAAGGCTCTTCAATTATCGGAAGCGGATGCAGTTTTGCTTTCCACCGATCGCCCCTCTTTCCTACCCTCTGACACGTATCACAAGGTGACCCCCAGATGCCCGGATAGCGGAATGCTGTGCACTATCCGGAGCAATTCGGCTCGGTACCTCTGCGGTACTACTAGTTACCTCATAATTATTGGGTCTGACCCGGCTACCTGTTTGTCAGACTCCCTGTACATTAGCTGTTTGTCCCATACAAACCCTGGTTTGGTCAGAGGTGACCTTGTCTCTATATACTTGTAAGGTCCCTAAGGTAGGCAGGGCCAGATTAAGAGCCCAGTGGACCTGGTGCTGACAATTATGACGGGCCTAATTACAGAATCATATCGACCAAAAACAGTAAAACACTCCCAAGCGTCATGTATCTGATGGAGATGGTGCTGGAGAGAAAGAAAACAGCAGCTATAAGAAAACACACAACCCTAGGCTAATCTCTCACTAATTTATGTTTTCATCTTTCAAGTAAATCCATAACCCCTAACAGCAGTGTCCAGTCAAGCAGGAAGTCAATGGGCACGGTAAAAGGGTGTGCCACTGACACAAATCATGTAACCTGCCAAAAGGGGCGAACATGCCCAAAAAGAGGATATGTCTGCCCAAAGAATTAGAAGGCCAGCCTGGTATGAATGCATGTCAGGCTGCCTGCCAATCATGCAGCTGGCCAACTAAGGGCATACTATGCAGACAGCACCCTGAGCTTGACATAAATGCATCTAATGATGCGCTTGCTCAACTCTTTCTAAGGACTGTCCCCTAGCATCTGCTGGTCCACTCGTCTCCTTACCTTCTTACTAGCAGGCAGAAGCTCATGGTATATAGTCTGGGACAGAGAAAAGCTGTATGTAGTGAGTGTAGAAGCACATTGTTAGAGAGACCAAAGTCAGCATTACCTTAAAGGATCACTATAGGGTCAGGAACACAAACATGAATTCATGACCCTATAGTGTCAACACCACCATCTAGCCCCCCTGGGCCCCTCATGCCTCCATAAATATAGCAAAATCTTACTGTATTCAAGCCTGAAGCTGTAACTCTGCATGCTGTTAGAAGTGGTGGCCTAATCCAATCACAGTGCTTACCCATAGGATTGGCTGAGTACACTAGGCTGTAATGTAAAGACTGCAATTTCTCTGAAAAGACAGTGTTTACAGCAAAAAGCCTGACGGTAATGATTCTACTCACCAGAACAAATTCAATAAGCTGTAGTTGTTCTGGTGACCCTAGTGTCCCTTTAACTATATTCATTGTCAGCCAGTCCACACAAGTTTTGTTCCAATACATCCCTCTTAAATTTCCATACTTAAGTAAGGGTATGTGAAAAGTAGTTAGAGTTGCCATCTTTCTTGGAAAAACAAACCGGCCTTGCTAATTTGCATAATTAAATATGTATGGGTGACATCACATGATGTAAATCACAAGGAGTGACATAAGAGAAAATGCTGTAAAATCACCAAAAAACTACTTAGTTTGATTCTGCTGTATAGATGGATTCCTCCCAGTGGCCCCATGTCTCCAAGTGCTCCCCATGTGTCGATTACTCCAGGTCTCAGTGTTCCTATGTATCAGTGTCTCAGTACCCCATGTCTCCCAGTGTCCCCTAGTGTTGTGTCCCCAGGTCTCCCAGTGATCCCATGTATCCCAGGGTCCCCATGTCACTAGGAAGACGGGAAGACCTGGGGACACGGGGAGACCTAGGGACACGGAGACACCAGTGACACTGGGAGACTAGGGGACTCTGGCTGGGACGCATGGGGACACTGGGAAAATAGGGGACACTTGAAGACATGGGGACACAGACACCAGGGACACAGACACTAGAGACACTGGCTGGAGGACATGGGGACCTTGAGACATGGGGGCACTGGGAGACATGGGGACAAGGAGACACCAGTGTCTCAGTGTCCCCATGTTTCCTTGCAGCCTTTCCCCCATCCCTTACTTCCCTGAGCTGTAGGCTGTCTCTGCAGGGTGGGAGTTGCTGTCTGGACTCTCTGTAGCTGCACCCCTGCAGATCAGTGAGTATAGATAGTCAGGGAGGGATATGCTGGAACTTCCTATCCCTGCCTGTCTCCACACACAGTGACCCCTACTGGCCAGTGCTGGTATTGCATAGTAATCTCTTGTTTATACTGAGAAAAATACCAGCATTTGTATTGCCAGTATCACTGTAATATTGGCACCAGCCAGGCAGCCTCAAATATTGTGCCAATAAAATAAAAGCCAGGTGGAATCCCTAAGAGTAGTGTGTGAAAAAAAAAATGTAAAAAAAAAAAAAATGTAAAAAAAAATTATTATTTTTTTTTAATAAATCAATGGGCCTATTCCATGGGCCTGGGCCTGGAGCTGCAGCTCCATCAGCCCCTATTTTAATCCGGCCCTGAAGGTAGGGTCAGTGATCACCTCTGCCGCAAATTCGTTAGGGGGAGCCAGGGGACACACTCTAAAGGAAAGGAAGGCTCTCTTACCTACACCTCTGGGAGTGGTTCTGTTGTCAGGTGACTACTGGATGTGCTTCTCCGGTGGTGGGAACCTGGGGCTCAAAAGCAGAGGTAATTTCCCAGCAAAACTTCCACTGGCAACTGCGGCATCAACCCCACTACCACATTTCCTGACCCCACTCCCCAGTGCAAATGTACCCTTGCTGTAGGTAGCCGGTATACTGCTCCCCCGGCTACCCTTATGTTATGGTGGCCCCTGAGTCACGAAGCCCTTGTACCGCTTTTCCCTCCAGGTAAACGGTTTGCCTGTGATGCTGGCGGTTATCTGAATTTGCCTGTAGTGGGTCTACTTCATGCAGCACTTCCCACTGCTCCACGGTGGTAACGGGAACTGCAGAGCCATAGTGTGCTGGTGCCTCGGCCTGGTAACAATGGGCTACTGCTCTCGGAGGTGGTGGTGGTCCTGGTTGGATCCAGGTAGATCGGTCTCTGAGTTGGGGACTGTGAAAGAACCATCTGGATGCCTATTCGTGGTGGATTCATCTATTTTGCCTTCCTTTCGTGTAAATGGCTGTTTCCATAGCCCATGCATACGAATGACCCGTTTTACCGAACAAACCTACCGAACGGATGGCCACCCAGGATAGACGTGTGCTGCTGGTTAACCTCTTGATCCCAATTAGAACGCTGTGGTTAACCGCAGATATTTCTCAATTAAAACCGAATACAAGGTGGCCGTCGTTTGCATGTCGACCACGAGGCAGCGGCCATTTTAGCTTGCACGAAAGACCAGCGGTGTTTGGCATTGATTTCATGGAACTAAAAACTGACACTTTTTCTGCCGAACACCGCTGAAACGAGTCGCCCTGCTCCATCGACGAAAGCATGCGAACACCGGCCGTTCGGGAGTTTGGAATCACACGAAAAGACTTAACCCATATAGCCTTCCCATTGAGTCAATCGCATACCGAAAGACTGTAAGAACTTTGACTCCATGGCGATTGAACTATGCGTATGGGATCTGAGCGCTATTCGCTAATAGTGATGTCGCGAACCTGAAATTTTCGGTTCGCGAACGCCGAACGCGAACTTACACAAATGTTCGCGAACCGGCGAACCGCCCGAACCGCCATTGACTTCAATGGGCAGGCGAATTTTAAAACACACAGGGACTCTTTCTGGCCACAATAGTGATGGAAAAGTTGTTTCAAGGGGACTAACACCTGGACTGTGGCATGCAGGAGGGGGATCCATGGCAAAACTCCCATGGAAAATTACACAGTTGATACAGAGTCTGGTTTTAATCCATAAAGGGCAGAAATCACCGAACATTCCTAAATCACAATGAATATGGATTGACACCTGACATAATCCATATGTCAAGGTGTCAATATGTCATGACACCTGTCCTCAGAGCCCCTGATGCACACGGACACAGAGCAGAATAGAGACTGGTCCCCCTACATAGGGTCACTTGGCAGATATGGATTGACACCTGTCCTAAGGATCCCTGATACACACTGACACAGAGCAGAATAGGGACTGTTCCCCCTACATCGGGTCACTTGGCAGATATGGATAGACACCTGTCCTAAGGTTCCCTGATACACACTGACACAGAGCAGAATAGGGACTGGTCCCCCTACATAGGGTCACTTGGCAGATATGGATTGACACCTGTCCTCAGAGACCATGATACACTGATACACACTGACACAGAGCAGAATAGGGACTGTTACCCCTACATAGGGTCACTTGGCAGATATGGATTGACACCTTGTTACAAACTGCTATTTGTAACGGGCCCTTTAAATGGCAAATTGCCCTGCTTCCCTGGGTTGTGGAGAAGCCTATTTGCCAGCCTCCTCCCGCATGACTATGGCCCCTGGGAGATTGTGAAAATGTATGCACTTTTATTTGGTGTGTATGGCCCTTTAAGACTGTCGGTGGGCATATTGGGGCTTATGGACTCTTTATGTGACTGGTGCTGGCCCTGTAAACACCTTTTTTGGGACATCAGGAAGATTGGGACACTGCCCCTTTAAGGCCGTGTCCCCAGACTTGTTGGGGACACGGCCCCTTTAAGACGGTGTCCCCTGTGTCCCCAGACCTGGTGCAAACCTTTTGTGCCTGCCTGGCTAATTTCCCACTTGGTTCAGTAAATGGGGCTTACTGAACCAAGTACCACACAGGCAGACCACCCAGAAGTGGAAGTGTGCAGGCAGTTTACCTCCCAGAAGCTGCG